ACATATGTGAGCGTTAACAAAGAGTGGTTTTAAATGCGGGATTGCTCCTTCTGGTATAGGTGGAAAAACCATAGGTGGGGGTCTGCCAACCATTGCTGCCCATTCTGGTTCTTCTTCCTCCTCGAACTTTGCCCAAATGGGTTCTTCTTCGACAAACCATCGCATATCCGTCATCCTGACTTTGAATTCTGCTTTATCAAAGTTTTACTATCTTGCTGCGCAAAACTTTCATCTCTTCTGGGGCAAATGATCCGAAAATAATCTCGGGGGTCTCTTCCTCTGCACTTTCTATTTCAGGATCAATATTGATCCGTGTGCAGAATTGACATCGAAAACATCTGGCCTTCTTGATAGGCTTGCTGTTCTCCCCTTGCTCATCTGGTTCGTCATTCAAGTCCTTCATTTTGGGTGATGATTCTTTCTTCTCCTTACCCTTATATGTTCGTTTTCCATGCCGCGCTGCATACCTGCGTTTAGCATTACGAATTTGTGTGCGATTCATACCTGGAAATCGAGGGTCTATGTCTATTGGCAGAGGCTTTCTGTTTCAGCTCCATTTCTCTTGGACTGGATGTGGTTTGCGTGTTGGTCGGTCCCGTACCACGACTTTATCTTTCAATTCTACTTTGAACGACCCATCTTCTCTGTCCCATTTCTCTGCCACTCTAGTTTCGCAAACTTTGAATTTCACTTCCTGATTGGATTCCCGTTCTTTAGGCTTGCGTTCTTTTCGTCTGGTGTCTTCTTCATCATCACTTTGCACAACTTGTGAAGACCGCAAAGAGATCATTGCAGTAGTTACTTTTGGGAAGGGCTGATGCTCTACTCCCATTGTTACATATTTGAATCTCCCTGCTTTGATAGCCTTCTGTATTTCCTTTCGGAAATGTGTGCATTGATTAGTGTAATGAGTAAAGGAATTATGCCACTTACAGTATGGCCTTCCCTTTATTTCCTCCTTCGTTGCCAAACTTTGCCCTTTAGGAATGCGAATCTGCCCATCCGCCAATAGAATATCGAAGATCTCGTCGGCCTTGGATACATCGAAAGTCGGCTGCTCCCTCTCCTCTGTTCCTGGCAATGGCTTTAGTTTCGAACATACATACGGTTTGCCATTCACAATTTCAGCTGCCATCTCTTCAAGAATATTTCCTTCATCTGGCGAATAAATCTCTGTATCAACACTAGCCATTTGTTGTACCCTGTTCCGACGAAAGTTGTGATCTTTTTCTCTAAACAAAGATTCTAATATCTCTGCTTTGGAGGCCAAACTAGCCAAGTCCTGAACATCATGGGCTGTCAATGCCTCCCGAAGTCTGGAATGCATGTTTCTGACCACCAAATTGGTCATTTCACTTTCCTCGATGATTGTCGGGCATCTGCCTTTCATGAGTCGTATCCGTTCAATAAACTAATACGCGGTCTCTTCTGGCATCTGTCGGATCTCTAAAAGATCCGTGAGTGAGACTGTCGGGAGAAGATTAAAAAATCTTGCATGAAATGCTGCCTCCAGACTCTCCCAGGTTTGCAACTGCCCGGGTGGCAAATTTGCAAACCATGAAAAAACGGTCCTTGTAAGCGATAACCCGAACAATTGTAGTTTATAGAAAGAATTATTGCCTACTTCCCCTAATTGAGCCGTGAAACGTTCCACATGCTCAATAGTTGATGCCCCATCTTCTCCAGAAAATGAATGAAAATCGGGTGGCCTGTAATTCCTTAGAAGTGGATGCTCGTTGATGATTCTTTCTGGAAACGGCCTCTGGTACGCAGGTCTGTTGATCGTCTGGGGGTTCATTCCAAAATATACCCTCAAAACCTGAGCAATGTCTTCTGGGTCTACTCTGGGTGGGACAGGATCCAACACCTGAATGGGATTGTGAGCCTGGCCTCCCAATCTTTCCCCTCTGAAGTCGGTAGGCTCGGTCATAACACCTAACGGAATGTCATTCGTGTATGTAAGAGGAGTCTTCCCTCTGTCAACCCTTAGGGCAGTAACACTTGGAAAAGTGTTGTCCACATATGAAGGCCTCGCAAAATTTTCCTGTAACCTGGATGGTGATAGTTCTGGTGGCGTCTGGATAGGTTGCAAAGTAACCTTTGATAACGCCTGATTTAACGTATTTTGTATAAGGTTTTGTTGCTCCCGCAACATTTGTTGCTCGCGCAACATATTCTGCATGGCCAAATTATGCTGGTTGTTCAATTGCTAACATAAGAAACCCAGTCAGCAGGTGTTTGTGGCATTTCTCCTGTATTTGGCATGACAGGTGGTGAAACCCTTTCTCCCACCGGCGCCGAAGATGATTGAGGCTGTGAGCCTGCCATGTGGATCCTTCCGACGATTCGGCCGGATCTTAATCGTATGAAACTCTCCGTTGACGTATGATCAGCAATCTTGCTTTTCTCCCACTGTGGTCGCCAAATTGTTGATGCGTTTTTCAACAATAAAAAGTAAAATTCGAAAATAGAGAAATATCCCCGAATTTGATAGATGAGTGTCTGATATTAGAGATCTCTAAACACTATAGAATACATAAAATAAAATAAGGAAAAGATAACAATAAAGACTGAAAAATAAAGTGGTGATCTCCAAAAGCAATTTTCTTGAATTTGATGTCGATTGAAGATCCCTCATCTGTACAGTACGGAATCCTTAAATAACCCCTTGAAGATACGGTTCGAACCGCTATCCGGTCGGTTACCATAACCGCTGTTAACTCCCCCAAAAAGTTCTCTTCTATCGACACGTATGAGAACCGTCCTACCACGTCCGACCTTTGAAAATCGTTCGCCAGTTGAAACTACCCTCCACTATCAGAAACTGCTTTTTCACCCGACCTGCAGGATAGCTACTTTTACTACCTGACCTTTGAACTTGGTCCGACTTCAATGTCCGACCTTCTTACACCCGACCCTTGGAATTTGTCCCGACTAGGTCCGACTTCACTATCCAAACTATTTACTCCTGACCAGGTCCAATCTCATCATTCGTCCGACTTTCTTACACCCGACCCTTGGAATTTGTCCTGACTAGGTCCGACTTCGATATCCGAACTATTTGGTCCCGACCAGGTCCAATCTCATCATCCGTCCGACCTTTAGGATTAACCCGACCAGGTTTGACCTTAACATCTGAACCCAAGCTCATCCGACCCGGTTATTGCAGTCATACTTGGACTTTCAAAAAGCCCACTAGACGTTTCGAATAAATTTTAACCTAATCTTGGCAGGCCCATTCTCTAAAAACCTATCCATTATTTTTTTGTACTCAACAATTATTAATTTATTATATAAATTTTATATTAAAAATAAACTAGATTAAATATATTAAAATTTGTGATAATAAATTAATTAATAATTAATATAATAAACATACATGTACTAGTTTCTTTATATTTTAAAGAATTTATTATAATTTTTCGTAAAAATATATTATTATTTTTTTACAAAAATAACTTAAAATAGTAAAATAAATATATTAATAATATTTTTACAATTTTCAACAACCAATAACAAAAATTATCAAAATTTTTAAATAATACAATTGAATATTTTTAAAATAAAATATAAATATCTTTAATTGTTGTTGTTTTACCAAACACTCTAATACAATCCTTTAATCGAATTAGCTAGTCAAACCAACTAACTAAATCAGCTAAATATTAACAGCTAATCAAATCAGCTAACAACTGATGGTCAAACACATTCTAAAATTATGTTTATTGAATTTAAACATATAAGTAATTATGACATGGAAGGGGTTTGTTTACACATGTTTTTTAAATTTTGAAAGTTTAAAAAAAAAGTAAAAAGTTAGTATTTGATTTGATATTTTGTGAGAGAAAAAATGTATTTGAGGTGATATTTTTTGAAAAATAAATAGTGTCAAATGATTGAAAGTGTGTGTGTAAACCGAGCGAAGAAGTTTGTTCTTTTATGCATTAGACTATTTTAAATAAAAATATTTTATCAATGTTTTTAATAAAAATAGTATTTTTTTTTAAAAAAATATTTCTAAAATAAAAAAATTATTTTTTCTAAGCAATATCATACTTTTTAAAACACTTAGATAATTTTTAACATTTCTAAAGTATTAAATATTTGTTTCATTTTAGTTTGAATCTTAATTTAAATAATACTAATATTCTATAGAAAATATGTTTTTATTAAGGAGTTATAAAATTTAAATGATATTAATTTGTATTTGAAATTAAAGTGAATAAGTCTATTACTACTTCTTTTAAAAAAAGAAAAATTATTTATTATTTTGCACAAATGTTAATACGATAAGTAATTTTTGTTATTCATAAAATAAAATAAAAATAATAAAAAAGTCATATAATTTTTCAATTAAAAAATAATTTGAATTGAAATTAAAGCCAAATAGGCAATTATTTCATTTGTCTACGAAATATAATTATTATTTTCTACAAGTTTTAATATATTTATAATTGTCATTTATAGATAAAAAATTGTAAAAAAAAGTTATACTTTCACCGTAAAAGTTATACTCTCTCCGTCACATAACAAAGTATTCATTTTTTCATTTTAGTCCGTCCTATTTAGTAACTTACTATCAACCTAACATTACAAATACCCTTACAACTTACAATATATTATACAAATGTCATTATCTTATATATTTAGTCATTTGTATTATATTTCTACTATATCTCAATATAATACTAATATTTCTAAAACTATTTAAAAAAAAAACAAATGAATATTTACTTGTATTATATATAAATATAATATTAATATTAGTATTGATAATTTTTCTATTAAAAAACCGACTTATTTTCTGTTTTTTATTTTTTATTTTTTATTTTTATAACTGAAAAGAAAAAGACTATTTATTTTGTGACACCTAAAATTCACGACCGATTGGTGAATTTAATTTACAGCAATGATGAGTTTGTTTAGGAAGATGAAGTAATAATAAGGGACACGTGCTACTCACGTGGAATGTTGCAGATTTCAATGGAAAGGAGACAGACAGACCCCTTTTCTTCTACCAAAGGGAACGTTGGAAAAGTTTCTTGTACTGCTTTCCCATCTCCAAATTCTCCTCATTCCCATTGCCAACCCCATTCATATTCCTCCTCAGCATCTCCCGTCTGCAATCCTTCATTTCAACGGGTAGCTGGTCGCGAGGTAACCATTACTGTATATTCGTTTTACGGATTCATTTAATACTTGATCTCTCATTTCTTGTGCCTGCGGCTCGCTTAACAGTTGAAATTGATCTGTGGATTATGGTAGCTCTTACAATTTATGTGTGAGATTGATCTAGGGTTTCCTGTTCGTGTTTTTTGGTTTGTTCAGTTGCTGGATTTGAATTTTGTTGTTCGATTGTTCCTGATTTTCTTTTTGTATGATCTTCGTTTCTGATATTTAGGGTTCAGAATAATTGGCCTCACCTCAGTGTTGTGTGTTGGCGAAGTTGCAGTTGTGATCCTACTTAAAGTTTCTTTCGTATATTAGCTTCACTGTATTGCAATGTCAAATTTTATGAGTTTTATTTTGATAACACACCTCTATATTGTAAAAGATGAATACCTGTAAAAGGATGAAGAAAAAAAAAGAACAACACTTTGTTATGTAAAGAATCATATCAAGCATACCTTTCGAGGATTGAATTTTAGAAGCAAGAAATATTATGCTCAAACTCAAGGAAAAATTTAACCGAGAATTTACTTCATTCAGTATCCAATATCTTGATCTATGAAGCCACTGTAGCTATAAAATAGGGATGAAATGTATTTCAGAAGTTATAATTAGGGAGACATGCATACACTATCAATACAAAATTTAGGTTTAAAGCAAAAATAAGCAAGATCAGGCATGGGTTTCTCTCAAAGGAATTGCTCCAAGGTAGAGCCACCATCCCATTTACATATTAGCTAGTAGCAAAGAAACTTCGTATTGCTCTCATGGTTGTCTTAGCTATGGTTGAACTAGATACATTCCTTGTGTTAGCAAGCAGGAAAAAACTTTAGTGCATGTTTTAAAATTTTATCTTACTTTGCAATGGGTTGAGATGCTGCTCTGATTATGTTTGATGCTACTAGTGGTTTGATCAATATATTTATTATACTGTAGCCAATTAGTGTGGTAAATTCCTATTGCAATCCATAGTCATGCACAATGCCTCTTCTTCGGTGGTGCAATACATTCGGTAGTGAGAACAATGACCACTCCTCTCAATGCTTCTATTCAATGGACTTCCATGGTGTTTGAGTTTCTTATCATAAAGGGTGGATAGCTAGTTTCAACTGGACCATCCTTTGCATCTACCTACTGATATACTTTTACCCGGATCCTAGATATTAACTAAATATGAATTTCTAAACTAGGACTTCTATTTTAATTTATTAAATTATCTCGTTTCCCTCACCCTCAAGCTGTATATAAGGAGCATGATGGGGCTAAGTGATCCCCAACTCCACCGAGAAGGAAATTATGACCACCAGTAAAAACATTTTCAAATTATATCACTAGTAATTTTTATTTTTATTTACTTCTTCCCCAATTCAATTGCACCACTTAGCAACTGAACCAGTACTAGGTGGAATATTACACTCTGTAAATGAACTACAATTGCTCCCCCTAACTTCCAGATGTAGCAAGATTAACAATTGCAAGATCATAACTTGTTATGAGACTGCTTTCACAGGTCTATACCAACTGTAAAAAGACAAGTCACAAGACCAGGAATATGATGAGTGTATAAAATTGGGTGTAATACCTGTATGATAGTCTCAACAGTGTTAAGTTAGGGCTGAACATGCAGACCTGGAATAAGAAAAAAAGTTGCACAAACGAAAAAAATAGAAAAAAAAACCTCTTATGATGACTACAGATTTATTGGGGAAAAACTAATTGTGAAACTCTGATGTTTTCTCATTGAACTAAATGACGTGTTGTGTTCTCTAAGGGTTTTAGATTTTGTGGGAGCTTTATTGTTAGTTATTGGAATTGTGAATGTGTTTAGAAGATTTGTGATGTTTGGGTGAAGTAGTTTTTATTACTTTTTTTAAAATGTTTTGTGAGAGCATGGATATGTGTTTGTTTGTAAGGTTTTGGTTTTGATTTTACTATTCCCAATATTTATTTTTTTCCAAAAAATGTCAAATCAATCATTTATTTTTTATTTATTATATTACACAGAAAGTATCAAATCAATATATATATTTATATCACATCAAACAACTATTTCAATTCAACATTTTACTATTCAAACCCAAAACCCAAAACCAGAACCCCACAAACACACTGTATTTTTTATTGCGAAATTTGGGTAATTATTTATTTATTTATTTGGAGAATGATGTAAAAAATAAAAGAACAAACCATCATACAAATTTAATATCAAGTTCTTGATACAATAGTGAGGACATTGTACTGCAAATCTTCACTTGGAAATAATTTCCAAATATAATTAAATTGTATTCTAACACCACACGGACAAAACAATATATGTATGCATACGTGTGCAGTTCATTTATGCCAACTGCATCCAAGGGCTAGTCTTATATGAAACTCTGTAATAATGTTTTAGAATTTTTTCTATGACTGGTCCTTTGTATACTTACAGCTATTTGTATGAAACTCATGCAAAAATTCGTGGTCTTCCCCCTTTCTAAAACCTGGCTTACTAATGTTAATTATCAGTCTAACTTGGGTTGTAATATGCAGAAAATGGCTAAAGAATCGAAGAATGATGCTGGGGAGGATGTCACATCTACTGATACCAAGATTAAGAAGGAAACCAAGAAGAAAGGAGTTCTATCAAGGTTATGGAATGCACTATTTAGAACACGGGGCGATGATTTTGAAAAAAGATTAGAACATATATCCAAGGAAGAAGCTGCTATTCTTTCCAGAATTGCAAGGCGTGCATATAGTTCCCAAAGAAGGACACGGAACCTTATCATATTCTCTCTTCTTTCTGAGGTAAGATAGCTTCCTCTAATACTTGGCTGATTAAATGGAAGTGAATACAACAAATAAATTGGGTCTAGGGTGGGTTAGAACTTATTAAACCTAAATCCAAAGTATTTTTATAGAAAAGAGTTACATTAATCATACTACATGGCTGTAAATGCTTTTGGATTGCTGTTACATTCTCACCTAGTCAAGGTGGTGAACAAATTTTACTTTCTATAGATTTCTTATTAACCACATACTGTTAGTATTCCTTAAATTGATTCTGAGAATGGGGCTTTCCATTTTACATTTTATGTGGTTTTAGGTAAGTGCTATAGGTTATGCTATCATGAGCACAAGATCTTTAGACTTGGACTGGAAAACAAGAGCAATGCGAGTCTTACCTATGTTTCTGCTGCCGGCGTTGTGTGTCTTTGTTTACTCAGCACTTAAAAGCTTCACAAAATTGCGTAAGTAGCATGACTATACTTTAAATTGGTTTCTCTGGTGAAACTATATAAACCTTATCCAAAATTCAACTATGAAATTGGTTACAAATTCAAAAGCTTTATATTGTGAATAAGAGCTTTGCTGCATATCACATGTATATCATTATATCCTTAGAAGTTGCCATGTTTGTATGCTATATGCTTGCTTGTTTAATGTGATATTTTTTAATTTTTTTTTTTGAAAACAAAATATTTATTCACTTAGGGTGTGTTTGTTTGAGGGATTTGTTTGGATTTCAACTATTTATCCTATTTTTTCCTCCCAAAAACATCAAATCAAACACTTATTTTTTATTTTTTATATTATACTAAAAATTAATTTTACATTCAAAACATCGCATCAATACCTATTTATATCACATCATACAACTATTCAAATTCAAAATTTTTACTATTCAAATCCCAACTCAAAATCCAAACTCTTAAAAAAACACACCCTTAGAATATTGTTGATGAATTCATATGTACTTATAAGTTTTTATTACATAATTTCTTTGGATTATAATGGAAGCTTTCTGAAAGAGGTCTTTTGGTAGCAAGGTTTGTATAATCCAGTGGACATTAGATGAGCCACGCAAACGCTATTCTGACTGGTGAACCTTCTAAAAAGATTTCTCAGTTTATGTTTCCTCTTGCTGCAAGGAAATAGGTTTCAGATTATCAAATTCTAAAAGTAATCAAAACTATTTGTTCCTAATTTCACTTGGAGAAAATATGAAACCATTCCTAGGGTTTTGGAAGATCTGATGTTCCTGATAAATGGAGATTTGTAACAAACGTGTAAGACACGTGGCGATCATATCAAAGTATTTATTCATGGCATTATAGATTTGCTAGGTTCACATATGTTGTTGGTCATTTGACAGTCGTGCGGAAGTTCTAAAATTCTGGCCCATAAATCCTTATTTGTTGAATGGCACTTCTTAAACTTAGGATATTCAACCGGTGCTTTGCTTTATATATTAAACAAATCTATTTTTGTACAAGCATCATTCATTTTGTCAAATCTAAATTGCATTATTCAATGTTAAACTTAAACCGAGTGCATGAAATATCTAAATACTCACATGGATGTGTGTGTGTGTGAGAGAGAGAGAGAGAGAGAGAGAGAGAGATTACTATGTACACTATACTTCTATTCTGAATTCTGTATTGAATTACAATGTCATGACAGTGCCTAAAGTTCATATTTCAAAGGATGCATACAAAATGATTCTACTTAAGTTGGATGGCAATGGCCTAGAAACCAAATTTTGGAGAGCCTGATTCTTTATCTATGAATTGTTGAGCATTTCAATACCTTCTTAAATATCATATTTTGTTTAGGTCTACCACCCATAGCTGTCAAAAACTTTTGTTTTTTTTTCCATTGCTTTCTGACAGGATCACAGGATGCAGAAAGCATTTGAATATTTTTGGATGGCCATACTCATCTTACCTATTATATATATAATATATATATATATACACACATTAACTACTTCTCCATTTAGTTGGATACTTGATGTGATATTTTATAAGATGAAATAGGTATTTGATGTGATGTCTTTTCAGAAGGTACTATTGAATATTGATGAATAGTGCCAAAACTTCAAGTATGTATGTAAACAGATCTTTAACAATCATTTGTTGGGTTTGTCTTGATACAATTAGTGGGCTTGTTTACTTTGGGCTTGTATTTGGATTTTATATTTTTGGTTTTTTGGCTGAATAATTGTTGCATGTGATTTTATGAATGAAATGATAGGATATTTTTCTATAGAGAACCGTGATATTTTGCATATTAAAGAAGTAAATTGAAAGAAAATTCAAAGTAAACAAAGCCAATGTAACTACTTTACTATTTAATCCACAAACAGTTGTCTACTTCATTGCGGGGTGGGGGAGAGGGGGTTTCATAATGTTCTCATTCGAAATTTTAAGCTGAATCTTATTTTTCAACAAGCTTCAAAATGTTACTGCATAAATTGTTAATACCCTTCATGTCTTCTCTACTTGTCTCCCATTTGGATTTTTTTTTTTTTTTATTTTTTTTTATTTGAGTTTAGCGTCGAATTCGCTCCCTTACTTTGTCAATTGAAGAACTCTTGTATGTTGCAACTGTTCTTTCCACAGTCCTGGCTCTAATTTGTATGTGTGTCAGAGGATTTATTTAGCCATTTGTTGTGTCTCAGAGGATTGTTTAGCCATTTGCTTTTCATGGATGACACGTCAATTCGAAAAGCAGTTTATTGACAAATCGTTTTGCAGGTGACCAGAAAGACTACAAGACTTTGGAAAAGCTTAAGGCTGAGCGGCAAGCAAAAATCGATGAATTAAAAGAGAGGACGAATTACTACATTACTCAACAGCTAATACAGGTCTAAAAATGAAAACTAGCGATCTCATTTGCTCATTACTCTTTCACACTGTTTGCGAAGTTAAAAAATAACACTTTTTTCTTCTTATGTATCCATTTTTTTAAAACTATTGATGGATGTTGGCAAAGTCCCCTTTCTGCTTTTTAACTACATAGTACTACCAGGGTGGTTTCCAATGGCTTCTTTAGGGTTTTCGGAACGAAATTATTTTTATTTAGACAATTTGGTTTTTACTGTAATGATGTATTTACATCAATATTCATCTATATATATATATATATATTTTATAATCTAGGTGGAAAAACATTGATATTAGTAAAAATGTCTTATGTAGGAACAGTTTCCTCATTATCTTTCAACAGTTTTCTTAGTATAATTTCATTTGCAATCATCCAAATACTATTTCATCTTAGTTCATTTTCTTGCTGATTAAGTATAGTTTAGATTCTTAATTGGACCCTTCAGTGCAGAGGTACGACCCTGATCCAGCTGCCAAGGCCGCAGCTGCCACAGTTCTTGCATCGAAGCTTGGTTCTGATTCTGGCCTAAAAGTACACCTTGGAGACTACACCAATCTCAATGCACCCACTGGAAAGAGCAGTTCCGTGGAACTTTCAAGCACCAGCGAGCTACGTAATAGGAAGCAATCCCATCGTAAAACCAGTACCAATGAAAGTGGATTGATTACAGAACACGAAGAAACAATGCCTGCTGAGGCAGAGTCTGAGTTTGCTGAAACCTCTTATCAACAGCAGTTGGTTGTCGAACATCACCCTCAAACGAGCGCGAGCTTAAATGATGGTGGATGGATCGCTCGTCTGGCTGCTATGCTCGTGGGAGAGGACCCCACCCAGTCGTACGCGCTTATTTGTGGCAACTGCCGAATGCATAATGGTAGGTTTGAAACACGTCAAACACTGCATTATTAAGGTGATCTCCTGAGAATTCATCTAAATTAATTTTGTTGTTTCATTATATTTGTAGGGCTTGTGAGGAAAGAGGACTTCCCTTATGTCACGTATTACTGCCCTCATTGCAAAGCCTTGAATAGGCCAAAACAGCCACCGGATAATCATGTTGACGATAAAGAAGTAGCCCCAAGTCTGGTTGGCTTTGGCGATAATGCAGTAGTTTCTTCTGGTGGTTCGACAGTTGGTGATAAGGGTGATAGCACTGTGGCTGCTACTTCAGGTGTTTCTGAAAATTAGAACAAAAAAAAGGGAAAGGACTATTATTGTGTGCATGGATTCAAAACGATCGATCAAATGACTTGTGATTGTGAGAGCTTCTGAAGGTACGCTTTGATGGAAAAACACTGTAAACACTACATTTGCGAAGAAATTGATTATATATATATATATTCACATGGTCAAGGCTGATTGTTTTATTCTGCTTTGTATGCTTAGAAAATTTTGAGAATAATTATAAAAAAAAATAAATTAATGATGCACAAATTTTAAATGTTGTTGATTATATAGTTTACCATTAATAGAGATTATGATAAAATATTTAGAGTTTATTTGTTTAGGTATAGAGTTTTTTGATAGATTGATAATTGTATGTAAAATTATATATGTATTTTCACTTGTGTTAATAGGAAGCATTCTATTGATAACACAACATGATATTAGAGTTGCTAAACTTTTATTGTCTAGCTCTTTGATTTAGATGGGAGCCTTTGTAGCCAAAACAATGGTCATGCACTTGTCGGGCTTTTAGGTTTGTTTGTGTCAATTTTGTGTTTGTCTAGTCACTTGGGGGTTGAGCCTCCAATCCTTTTGTAAACTCAAGGGGTTTGTGAGTTGTTGAAGAAAACCCTTAATTAGTTTGGTTTTTCATTGTGTTCTGTTTGATTTTTGTAAAGTAACTAACTCTTAATGGATTCTCAAATTTCATAACAAGATTGGTTTCGCCTTTTACTTTTTGGGTTGTAATTGGTAAGATCTATTCCGTCAGGTTGCCCTTGTCTTACAAATCTTGAGAAAATGTGTCGCCATCGGTTCTTCAATGTGATATCTTTACCTTGTAAGTTTGGTCGGGTGATAAGTAGTTATTTAAGTTTTTGGACTTATAAAGGAGATGTTCCGTCTAAACTTGATTTCTTGTATTTTTTTTAGTTTATTGAAATTACTTTCTTTCACGTTACTTATTTACCTTGGGAGTTTGGTCGGTTTGATAAGTAGTGTCATTTTTATTTAAGTTCTTAAACTTATAAAAGAGATGTCTTGTCTCAACTTATTTATAGTGTTTTGTTTAGTTTATTGATATTACTTCTTTCATGTTACTGATTAATCTTGTGGGTTTGGCCAGTTTGATAAACAGTTACATTCTTATTTAAGTTCTTGGACTTATAAAAGACATGTTCTGACTAAACTTATTTTTTCTATTTTGTTAAGTTTATTGATTACTTTCTTTCATGTCTCTTATTTACCTTTTGAGTTTGGTTGGTCTGATATGCAGTCTCATTCTTTTTTAAGTTCTTGGGCTTATAAAAGAGATATCTCTTATATTTTGTTTACCTATTAACCTTGTGAATTTGGTTGGTTTGCTAAGCAGTTTCATTCTTATTTAAGTTTTTGAACTTATAAAAGAGATAGTCTTGTTTAAACTTGATTTCTTGTATTTTGTTAAGTTTATATTACTTACTTTCATGTTACTTATTTCATGAAAAATAAACTCCTAAGTATTTAAGTATTTCCTTTTTTATGCTAGGTAAGAACTCAATTTGGTGTCTTCGTGTCTTCGGGAACATTGCAAAAATATCTTTCACGTATATTCAATTCTTATTTTTATTATTTATTTATCTTGTTGACAAAATATATTTTACAAGTTTGTAAAATTTGCTAGTTCTGTATTCCGGCCACGTGTGGAACAGCCGTCGTGTGAACGTCATGCGGAGTCAGGACTAAAATTCAATATTTTCATATATGTAGGATATATTTTGTCAATAAGATAAATAAAAAAAAAGTGATAATTGGGTATATGTAAAAAATATATTTTGCAATTTTCTGTCGTTCCTTTATAATTTAAATTATTTCCTATTATCGCTTGTTCTTGAATTCCTTGTCATTTGTTTTTAAGATGGTTGCAGCACTGTGTTGTACAATATCAAATGTGGTAACAAATAACACACGATATTACTATTGACAACACATTAGTTATATTAATAAGATACAAATACAACACATGAACGTATTACTATTGACAACACATTAGTTATATTAATAAGATACAAATACAACACATGAACGTATTACTATTGACAACACATTAGTTATATTAATAAGATACAAATACAACACATGAATTAAAAATACATGATATCTTAAACAATATATACAAAAGTTGATTTTAGCACGTTAAGTTTATTGATATTATTTCTTTGATGTTATGTATTAATTTTGTGAGTTTGGTCTGTTTGATAAGCAGTCATGTTCTTATTTAAGTTCTTGGGCTTATAAAAGAGATTACTCTTATATTTTGTTTACCTATTAACCTTGTGATTTGGGTTGGTGGGCTAAGCTATTTTGTTAAGTTTATATTACTTTCTTTCATGTTACTTCATGAAAAATAAACTCAATTTGGGTAAGGTAAGAACTCAATTAGGTGTCTTCGTGTCTTCGGGAACATTGCAAAAATATCTTTCACGTATATTCAATTATTATTTTTATCATTTATTTATCTTATTGACAAAATATATTTTACAAGTTTGTAAAATTTGCTAGCTCTGTCTTCCGGTCACGACGGCTGTGCGGTCAGAGGACTAAAATACAATATTTTCAAATATGTAAGATATATTTTGTCAATAAGATAAATAAAAATAAAAAATAGAAGTGATAATTGGGTATACGTAAAGAATATATTTTGCAATTTTCTGTCGTCATTTGTTTTTAAGATGGTTGCGGCACTGTGTTGTACAATATCAAATGGGGTAACAAATAACACACGGTATTACTATTGACAACACATCAGTTATATTAATATGATACAAATACAACACATGAACTAAAAACACATGATATCTTAAACAACATATACAAAAGTTGATTTTAGCACATAATATACTTTTATATAACATATGCTGTAATTATGAACAAATAATCCATGTCTTTATTACAACCGCATGTGTGTAATAAAAATATGTGCTATTTCTGTATGTTTAGTGTATTAATTTTTTCAAATCAGCACTGTAATCCCTCCTTTTTAAAATTGATTATATTTATCACAATTCCTAAATTTTCATGGAAACCGGTGGATTTTGGTTAGCATCTATGATAGAAGAAATGAATGCTCATTCTTGTTATAATGATCGTTCTGGTTAGGGCAGAGTTTGGAAATTTATCAGTGCTATGTTAGATTGCCCCAATCAACGAATGTTATAGATAACATATAAAAAATATACACAATACATACTATATAAGATGTTAATGTAATGTGAGGTTTATTTGATATATTGTATAGTTGAACTTTGGTGGATTGATTTACATACAACCAAGAAAGAATTAAATTGGGTGCAAATTGTGAATTATGATTATAATTTTTCTTTTGTTCTATTCAAAAGAATATTTCATTAGCAATGGTTATGCTCATGTTTATACAGGATGACAATGGACTAAGTTTGAAACGAATTGACATTACCTGTTTATACGTAGAATAATAATTAAAAATATTGACATGTTATGTTTTAAAGTATTTAATTTTATTTATTTTGGTTTAAAATTATGAGAATTTTTGTTATTAATTATTGAAATTTATAAAAATATTATAAAATATTTATTTTATTTGAGAAAAATATTTTTATTATAAAAAAATAATATTTTTTTATTGAAATTATATAAAATATAAAATAATAAATCTTTCGTATATATCATTTTTATTATGTTAATTATTGTTTATTAATTTTTAATGTAAAATCTATATAATAAAAATATTTATTTTTTCTATTTGATTTAATGTTATAGATTTATATATTTTATAAATACAATGATTTATATGTAATAATTAATAATAGTAATTATTTAAATTTACAAAAATAAAATTATAATTTAATAAATAAAATATATTAACAATAATTAGTAAATATTGCAATAAAAATATATTTATATGTATGAAATAAATAAATAATTTTCAAGGGTAAATAAGGAATAAACAAAATTAAAATGAAAAGGCTCTTAAAAATGTTGATTAAACTAACTTTTCAGAAATTAGTTTTTTAGTCTAAAAAGCTCTTTAAAAAAAAACTAATTTACATGTCTGGTATATTTGATAAGCTAAAAAATCTCCAAAAAAATCTTTCTCAAACACCCCATTTATAATTATTAGGATAATCGAATTTGGGATGAATTTTTGATCAAACTCATAACCAATTCCAACCCGGCCGGGTTTAAAATCACAAAACTCAAAACCCATTCCCCTATAAAATTTTGAACTCGAACCCGCTTCATTAATCCAAGGGCCGGAACAATTCCGGGGCAAGACCCACCCCAATTGTCATCCCTATGTTTATATCATAATAGTCTGTTATAGGAGATTGAGTGTATGTGTAATTCAATAAATAATTTTCAACATATTTCTTAATTAATATTATATAAAAAGTATCATATCTATATATAATATATATTCTAGGTGTTCAGAGAAAGTCAACAATTTATATAAAATATATTTTATATTAACTACTTTATTCTCAATATCGAATATAAAAAATCATTCAAATTAAAAATATAAAATAAACTCAATCTGTCTTATGTAGTCAAATTAATTTTGTCTGCCTTGTTATATCTCTTGCAACTATATTTATGATTGGGATTTCGATCAATTGGATATTAAGAATACAAAACTCAAATGTCTAAAAACTTTATTTGAAGTAGTAATTGGGCTTTGTTGCCTAGAGGAGTATGAGAAAACTTGTTTTAATAAATGAGATTGGTTCGATAGATTTAACCAAGACATGAATTTGAAAAGATAGGATACGAAAGTACAAATATGTACACTGGGGGCGGAGCCACAACATTGGAGTTGGAGGGATTCACTTAAATAAGAAAAAGTAAAATACTAAAACAATAGAAACATTTCTTACATTTAGCACAACAAATGTAACCCTTCGTCACCATATTCTAAAATCCCTGTAAAAATATTTTCAAATTTATATTTTATAAAAATACATTTTTTCAATATACCACATTAGACAATCCGCAAGATGCACGTGTGTTGCACAACTGCAAAATAAATGTTAATTCTTACGTATAGAAATATGCAAAATGCAGTAATTTGATGAGTAAGGTCGTCTCCGCGGGGAATAGTAACAATATTGACTATTCGATTATTTATGATTATACTATAAATATATATATAAATGGGGGGATTTTAATTATCA